CTTATTTGTATGTTACAAAACCAACATATTACACAGGGAAATGTAATAACCACTTATCTCAGATAAGTGGTTAAATTCCCTCAAAGCTCTTCTCTCCAGAACATTTGCTTCCTTAAACACTCTGCAAGAAGAAAATGATACAAATAATAAAATGTATTGTATATATGATGCCCTGAAGTCATTTCCTATTCAAATCAGAACTCATGGAGAACCAAAAGTGAGCTGGATATCATGTTAAAAGCATGCCACAAGATCCAAACTACTATGGAACATGGGTAGCATTATTGTCTGAATCCTGTAAAATTACATACAGTACTTTTGAATATCCTGGTGCTTTTTGAAGAAATCTAAATTCTTGGAGAAGAGAAATCCTCTTCTCCAAGAATTTAGATTTCTTCAAAAAGCACCAGGATATTCAAAAGTACTGTATGTAATTTTACAGGATTCAGACAATAATACTACCCAGTTTCCATAGGAGTTTGCATCCTGCATCTCAAATTCTAGGCCACCATTTTTTCAATTATGACCAATCTTTCAATCTTATGATCCTAGAAGTTTCTTTTTCATCTAAGCATGGCCTAAATGAATCAATTATAGACTGCAAAACCAACAGAGATACATGTCTTTGCCATAGCCTTCCTAGATTTTTTCTACCCTCTTTCCTCCAAGTTTTGCAGGAATATTGATGAAGGCAACATTTCAAATGTATACAACATCCTTGTATGTTTTAAAAAATACTCTCATTAATTTAGGATCTTTCCACTGTTTCAAGTACTTCAAAGAAAGAACAGGAGTGCTGCTTATACACGTTGACACTCCATAAATCAAAATAGTTACAAAGTAAAGAAAACTGGAGGATCAAATAATACAGCTATGCCACAGCTTGCTGACTGCATAACTGCAGCCACAGACAACAAACATCACGTCATCACAGGAGCCTCTCAGACTGGAAATGCTGCATGTACTGTAAGAGACAAGATGGTTTAGGCCAAGCCACTTACAGAAATGTCTATTCCTGCACAGTCCTCCCTACACAGTTAGGTCATTAATAAGTACTTTTTGTGGGTCTTGCTCCAGAAACGTTTGACAACAATGAATTCAGCATCTTCCACAGTGGGGCCCATCTTGTGGACTAAACTACCCCCATCTAGGGGGAGGCTTACATTCCTACCTATTTCTCCAAGTGTTTTAATGTTTCTATATCAGTGTCATACATTCATTTGTTGTATCATTTAATTGCTGTTTTAATTGATTCTTAACAGATTGTTGTAATCCAACAGTTGTTAGTGGAGCAAGCAGTATATACATTCTTAAAACAAAATTAAAAAAAATACATTAAAAAAAAGAAAACAAATTGAAAGTGCTTCTGTAAAGCCTCACTGGCAACAAAGACTATTCCAGCTTCATAGTTAGTCCTACCCATAGACACTTTCTCATGGCTGCCTTCACACATATCCCTCTAATCTTCGAGTCAGCAGGAAAAAAATACACTTTGGAATTTATGCTGCCTTGATAACCAACTCTAACTGGCTTAGTAATGAGGCTTGTAAGAGGTCCTTACAGCTTTACTGTGGGACAATTTAAGGGCAGGATTGACCCTAACTTTACTTCCTCTCCCATCCAATGTTCCCAGGCAGCAGAAAAATCCACCCCAAATTGCTCTCTTGAAAGTGTGATGGGTCAGGCTTGAGCTAATGTAAGAATGGTGGACCTGGGTCAAACAAGAGCCTAGCTCATAGGCTGGTGGGATAGAAGAGGAATGAAGGAGGAAGAGGAGTGAAGCAGAAAGGAAATGGCAAGGCACATTGATAAAGCTCCCTCCTGTGCAACCTGGGCCTGTCCTCCACCCCACTATCTGTCAGCCAGGCTACAGGTTTATGAGCACATTAAGGAACAGCAATGTTGGCAGTGGTGGCCAGGGCCAGCAGATCTATATCCACTGAGTAGCCAAACGGCATTAGAGAATATAAAATAGCATCCCCCAGTAACGGCTGACACCACGGCCACACTAAATCTCTTGTTGGAATCAGGAGTAGAAATCCTGTAAGGCACTTATTTGGGACACAACCAGCAACACACAACTGGCTAAATCTGGTTGAAACTGAACTTCCATGTAGAGAATACCAGCACTCTTTCAAAAAAGAAATCACTAAACATATATGAAAAACAGATCTGTCTTCCAGAAAAAAGCACAGACTCGTGTATATAAAGAACCTCCATAATGCCTGAGGGGCACTGAACAAGTATAATATTTTGACTCATTTGCTTAATTGGGTTCTCTTTATCTAGTTTTAGGACTTGGGTGGAGAACACATTTTAGGACATATTTATGCAGAAATATTGAAAATTCAAAAGGGCTCACAAACTTTTAAGCACCACTGTAACTCTATAAAAAATGAACAAAATGGGAACAAATTCCAGAAAAATTCTACCAATGCATCCCTAAAAAAAAAAAAACGGTTGGGTAGTGACTCGGAATGTTGCCAACTCCTTAATTCTATGCTCCCACTCAACCTCTGTCCTAGTCCTGTAACTTACAGCAGAACTATTAAAAGGCTGGAAAGAATTTCAGAAACCTTGCTCTACTTGCTTTTCCATCCTCACTTTGAGCAGCCTCTCTTCCTGATTTGTTCAGCTGTCCATCTTCAGCTGTCCCTCCCTCCCTCCCTCCCTCCCTCCCTGGCAATTTCTTCTCACCATCACTGCTTACTGGACTTCCCTTTCCCTTCCCTAACATCTATCTTTGTGACTAAAAATTTTGTGGGGTCAGATAGATATAATATTCTTCACTCGGATACAGCATGCAAGTAGAATTAAAAGGAGAGACATTACCTTGTTAGAGGGCCAATGGTAGATTGGAGGTAAAGTCTACAAATTACAGATGTTCACTATTCCAAACTAAAATTGAGGATTCCCAAATACCAGCAAATGTCCATTTCAGTGTCATACAGCAAACAGTCCTGGATCCTAAAAAAGCCTAAAACTTTCTTCCCAGTTTCACTCTGTTCAGTGGATCTCACTTTCTAAATTCCAGGTACATTCAGGAAATAAAAGTTCCTACTCAAATACACCCACAAAAAGGTAATTTCCGAAAGACTATGGAGAGAGTAGAGCTCTCTTGACCAGTGTGGAATATAGGAAGGGGGTGAGGGGAGGAAAGAGGGAATTGGAAACATTTATTGAACTTTCTTAAATTGACTTATGTAAAGGTCCAACTCAATGTCATCACTTCTTTGAAAGTTCTCCCTTGAGAAATATTTCTTCTATTTGTATTTTATGTTGGTTGTTCTTTCTCTTTCTATATTTACCTTAAAGGGTCTACTTGTTACTTTTAAAAGTGATACCATTTTACTAATGCTTAACTTTCTTCTTTTGTTTCTCTTTATAGTTTTTCCAAAGGTCTGTACGATTCAAAAAATGATGTCCTTCTTAAAGCAAATACTGCATCCATGGTCTCATGCTTCCATCCATTTTCTTTTGCAACAGCTACACTTTGGAACTCATGGCCTCCAGACAGCTGAGTGAGTCAGTGCTTCTCTTTCTTTGGAAAACACTGCAAGATAACAGTTTTCTCAGGCCATTTCTCAGGCCAACATTTGCTAAAGTTTTAGCTTAACAACTCTTATTTCCTTATGCCTTATATCCTCTTCCTTCCCTTCTCTGAAACATGTTAACTTCTACTGTCAGCTTCAGGGCACAGTTGTGCCACAGTTAATTGTATTCTTTGCTTTTTTAAGCATTCTAGAAATATTACATAAATTATTACATAATTTACATACTTTATTACATACTTTATTACATAAAGAAATATTACATAAAGATTTTAAACATCATCTGCTGTTGCAGCTCAGTATCATCTAGAAAGAGATCTTCAGTAAATAACTTCTAACATGATGAGCAGGAGAACCTCAGACATTGTGAGCTCCTTCGTGACCAGCTAGTTTACATTTTTTTTCTGTCATTTGCATCCTCTGCATATTTTATGACCTCTCTTATTCTTGCAAAAGCTTTAGAGGCATGGCCAGTAGACTTCCTTTCCCTCATTTTTAGTGCTTTTTGTCATCAGTACAGAATGGTGTTAGCTCTTGGTTTAGGGATTCTTGGCAATAAGTCCTTCAAGAGTATTTCTGCACTACAGGACCACAAAAGTTTATCTGCATGGGACAGCAGCATTCCAAGAAACTGTGGTAGCTCTAGAAGCAATAAAGGATAGCTGTGTGTGGCCACCTGTTTAACTTTCTCCCATGCCCCCAAACAGTGCTCATTTGGAAGCAATGCAGTAAATGTAAAAAGTGGTTAGATCTGGCCACCTGGTGCTGCTTGGAGTGCTCAGCCAAAAAAATTAATTAAATGAATCTCAAGGCAGGCATCAGGGATTGGCCCTGCCAGGGCGTTGGAGGCCTGGCATTTGCTCAAATATATAAGTTTCCAATTTTGGCTGGGGTGTAGAAAAAGAAAATGCCCTTCAGGAAGATTAAATACTTGCATCATTCTGCTTTGTAAGCAGTTATAAATATGCTGTTTTATAACCTGGGATGCTCATTGACCACAAGTCCATAAGCAAACAGTACAGCCACTGCATGTGGTTTCACTTACAGAATACAGCTTAGGTTAAAATTGGGGACGGGGAGTTTGAAACCTGTGAAATCATGAGTGCTTGGAAGTATATGGCAAGGTCCCAGACATTTATATTTAGAGTGGTCAAAGAACAGGTTTTAATTCCATATACAGCTCCCCAAAAATATCCTTAACTAACAGGAGCAGAACAAGTAGTGAAAACTAAGAGAAGGCTTATTCTATATTCATCTGAAAGAAGACTATTCTTTTTCAGAAATAGTGGGTTTTCTTAGATTCACTGAGCTGGGGAGTATACAGTGGGGCAAAAAAGTATTTAGTCAGCCACCAATTGTGCAAGTTCTCCCACTTAAAAAGATGAGAGAGGCCTGTAATTTTCATCATAGGTATACCTCAACTATGAGAGACAAAA